TCTAAACGGTTGGTAGGTTTAGATCTTATATTTTTAAGACTGAAGATCCACATGAAGTTAATTTTTACAGATATGAGGTCAGTTTTCTTTCATATGCACATCAATTCTACTCTTCTGTCTACTCAGGACAGAGGTGAACCTGAGGCAGCAAGGCGGTTAAGCCACAGGGCTATTATTTACTCTTTGCCTTAAGTCTTTGGTTTCAGTTATGAACTAGTTCTGCACCACACAGGGTAGATCGGTCAGCTAGAAAGTATTCTAGTGACAGGGGCACTGGACCATATCTCCTGGGTTCACTGACCTGTATTGACTAACCTTCACTATTTGAAAGGCCTAAAAAAAAGCTAGGACTCTTCCCACATTAGATGAAAACCTCAGAACTCTTCAAAGGAAACACGACTTTTACTACTAGCCACTAATAAACTACTCAGACTGGCCAGAATCACAGAGGAAAAGGGTGGCGTTTGCAAAGGGGCGGATCCAGAACCCTCGTGCACCAGTCTCCAGCACAGCTCAGTCTTCCAGCACTCAGTCTTCCGGGAAGAACAGAGAGCGCTGCAGGGCAGGGGCCACGCTTCATAGTATCCAGCACCAGAGAGCGCAGGACTCGCTAAAAATAGTGTCTCCATTTTCTTCACAAAAGAACACACGTTGAAATCATAATAGATCACAAACCCAGGAGATTTATCTCTCCATTGACCTGCTTCCTTGACTCCCAGTTGTAAAGCATTGCCTCAACACCTTCTCCTACCTGCTTTCTCTGACAGAGAAGGGTAACTGAGAGAGCAGGACGGAGTCTCCAGACAAAATGATGGCACACTTCACTAAAACAAGCAACAACACAAACAACTTAAATTGAGCCACTTTCAGAAAGTGCTGCACCCTGGGAGAAATATGCAAGGAGGATACGTACTGATAAGGAAAATGGACTTTTCAAAATGGAAAACACAGCCAAAAGGGCAGTTTCACAGTGTCCCCAGGTTGCAGCACCTTGAGTTACAAGGCAGTATCAATTACTGGCACTCAGAACAAACAGAAAAATCTCCTGCCTCTTGCCCTAGTGCTACAAGAGGAAAGGAAGGCATTTTCCCCCAAATGTACCCAAAGTGTCATGAAAGACAGAAAAAATAAAATAAAAAGAGCACACAGAATGTTTGAGACTGTTCTCCTGATGGCACAGGAGTCCTACCAACACTACCCGGCAGGTGTTGGTCCTGTGTGAGCTGAAGCAGTGGAGAGGAGTTGGGTACTTCAGGAAGCACCTTGGCTGGTCAACAGCTCTTCCAGATGAACGCTCTTCCACAGTGTACAACATCTACCTCTCGCAAGTTCCACAGTTCTGCTCTTTGGACAGTATAAACTAACTCGATTCTTGCTCCTTTTTTATCATGTTGTTTTAAACAGTTAGATGACAAGTAGTCCCACTTTGGTGCACCCTGCTTCAGTCTAGCTATCTTTTCTCCAAATAATTCTCATATGACTGGTCACTAACCCTCAACATCTTGGTCAACATCATCTACACTGAATAGCTCAGACCCTGGGAACTTGCCAGTGGGGGAAGGAGCACTGTCCCTTCTTGCTGGTGACATGTTTAATCTTCTATGTGAAAGCTGGGGTGAAACATCTTTGTCAAGCAGTGTCCTTTAGGAGCCTAAAAGACATCTCAGCTGAGGAAACAAAAAACAAATAGCTTGACCTTTTATGGCTAATCCAGACAGAAACCGCCTTAGGTTATGGTGGAGAGACAAGTGGCATAAAATCTAATACTTACCTGTCAAGTTTAGAAACAGCTACTTCCTGTTCCTCATGCTTATGGTTTCAGAAAGGGACACGGGGACTGTAGCTATCTACAGCTTGTGTATACACTCACATAGATATACGCTCTCTACTAATGCTTCCAAAAAAAAGGAGTCAATGCACACACGATGTGGCAGGTACCCGAGAGCTGACCCAGGAAACACTCAGAAAAAGAAGTCAGTCTCCCTGGAGGACACCGGAAACACCCAGGGAGCCACTGATCTGAGTCCTAATGCTTCTCAACAAGAATAAACAAAACAAGGATAAAGGATGGGTCATTAGTGGATGGGACCGCACCTTGACCAGGACTGCTTGGTTGTGCATGTCCTTGGCCCTCCGTTTAAACTTTAATCTTATTTCAGGGACTGAAGACAGACTTGGGGGAGGGCTTCCCTGGATCTCTTTGTCCCTCTTCCCAACTTGGCCCTATTAAGTAAATCTCCTTTTTTCCATTATTGATTATTGATTTTAATTGGCTTACTTAGGGCTAATGACTAAACTAGGAGTGGACCACAGGCTGTGACCGCCCAAGTTGGATAACATTACAGCACGGTACATGAAAAGGTAACAAAAGCATATAACAGTCATTATAAGGTAAGATAGATAGACACGATGGACAAGTAACACCAGAGGAGCTGAAGGAAGGGGGGATTTTCCAGTGGAACCGGGAGCATCTGAGACATACCAATATGAGGAATGGCATCTCTGATGGCAAATAAAGAGAGCTTTGAAAAGACTGAAGAGTAACAGTGCCTCATCTATCTTTCTAACATGTCTCTCTGGGATGTCAGCCTGGCCCTGTTTCCTGAACTCTCGGCATCTATCTGTCTCTTCCATATCCCACAGGGGTACCAAGAAATAGCTCTGAACAGCCTACAGTTAGGAGGGGCATTTAGACAAACATAAAGGAATAGATTTTTAAACCCGGGTTCATGAGAGCTAGAAAAACGTCTAAGCCATGGAGAATGTTAGAAAGGATTCTTTAGGCATACAAAGTGGAAGATTTGCAAGGCATAAGATCTGCCTTGGGGAAGTTTCAAGAGTTGAAAAGATAGAAAAGACAGTTCTCAATCTTCAAGAGAGCAGTGATAAAATTAAATCCTTTTTTCTGTCTATCCATTAACCAAGACTTGACGGAGCACACTGCAGATGCTTTATTTAGAGTAAGACCTCAATTGGGAAAGTATATGGACATTCATCATCAAAAGCTCTTTCCCTAAATGAAATAAAATGATACTCAGTTGGAACATGACTTCATAAGGCACGAATAGGTGAGCTATCATGATGAGATGCTTAGCACAACCGCAGCCTCTCTGGACTCCCTCGGGCCATTTATTCATTTTTATTTGTAAAGATGAAACCTAGAGAAGTTTTAGGACTCCCTTGCTTGCCATGCATCCTCTCACGCAGCAACACACACATCACAGCGCCAGATGGAGGCCCCTACAATGGGTCAGAGTGTAAATTTTAATTGACAGAATGAAGGTGCAGCCAGGAGTGCTGACATTTCAAGCAGTGAGCATCCTGCTTCTTAATACATGGGAATTCGGGGCGAAGTGAATCTCAACGGAAGGCCCCTCAGCAGATGCTCTGTAATTCTTTCTAACGTCAGAGACTCCGATATTAAGGACTTCTTTTGCTTCAATTTTTAAAAGGAATGATCGCTTCTAAGGGATTCATATTCGTTTTGTTTAATGCCAGACGATGAATCAGTCAGAGACAAAATTTTATCCTGAGCCAGTAGCTCCCAGTTTAATCTGTTTTCTTCTAAAAGAAAGGCTTCTAAAACTCAGCCCACCCGTAATCCTATTATCCAGGTCTTATAGAGTGGTAAACCTCCGAGGGCTGCCTTTAAAAATGAATGAAAATGGCCTTATTTCTTCTGGCATACCTATGGAGATGATGTCTGCAATAGCCCATCTCTTTAACCTGGGTGTCATTCAGGAGACCACGGGTGGTTTATGTGTCAAACAGTTGAGTTTTCCATGATGGGAAGAGAGGTCTAGTTGTCATGGGCATGAGAGACGACTATTATCAGAGTCTCTGCCAGCCGCCATGACAGCCAGAGGCAACAAAACATACTTCCCCCAATCACTGAGTCCTCTCAGAGCACACTAAGAACTCGGCTATTTTCTCCCAAACTGTTACTTCTGTGCCCCAGGACTGTCACATGATTGATGCTTTCCGTCACCGACTTACAGTGTGACAGGATGAACATGACTTGAACTCCCCCGCTGTGTACACCCCAGCCTCTCCTTCAGTCCAGAGATGCAGGGCCAACCTGGCTCTCCAGAGCCCAGCTCAGACTCCAAGACGTACCAATTATCACCGGCAAGTGGATTGAAACTTCTATCTCTGGGATCAGTTGTGCGAAAGGGCACATGGCCAGGGCACCTGTGTCCTTTTCCAAGGGAGTGGCCATGTGTGTTCTTCTCTTCCTCTGCAGTGCTTTCCAGGGCCAGCTCTAACTACAATCACACACACACACACACACACACACACACACACACACACACACACACGAGTCTAAATCACTTAGTATAGAATGGGCACGGGGCTAGCACTCACAGGATTGGTGTAGGGGTCAAAAGAGACAGTGTTTGGGCTAGGGAGACGGCCCGCTGTTCAAGCATGAGGTTCAGACCCAGAGCCCAGAGCCCCAGCGCCCACAGCGAGGCTGATGACATGTACTCGAAACTCCAGGGCAGGAGAGGCAGTAACAGGTGTCTCCCTGGAATTCTTCTGCTGGGAGGTCAGTGAGCTCCAGAGTTAGTGAGAGACAGTCCTCCAAAAGTGAAAATAGAGACGGAGCCTGCCTAATGGCTGGGCAGGTAAAACCCTTGGCGCCAACCGCCCTCTGATCCCTGGAACCAGTGAACACTATAAAGAGAGAACGGACTACACACGATGTTCTTCTGACCCGCACATTCATCACAGCGTGCACCCACATACGTCTTTCAACACTAGCAACAATAATTAATAAAAATGCATCTTTAAAAAGACAGAGGGTAAACGTGGAAAACGCCCAGCATCCACCTCTGGCCTCTATACACCCTCACACATTCAGGTGCACACACAGACGCAATGTATGTGAAGTCAAGCTCTGTAAACGTTTTGAGTTCAACGTGTATAGCACAGAAGAAACTGGCATGCTCTGATGTCAACTACATGACAGATGCAGAGGCTACCTGGGGGTGGACACAGGTCTCCAGAGCAGCCACTGCAGCAAGGCCACAAAGTTTCCATCAGAAGCAATGGGGAGAGCGGATCCACCAGGTGGTCTGGAAGGCCCTCAAATGGGTGAGTGCTTAAAAAGAAAGAGAAGAAGGGAAAAATATGAAGAACCGTGCGGCGATAAAAATGTTAGGGTGACGACAGAATCTGTTAGGAAGACAGACGGAAGCCCAGAGGTGTCGTGCAGTGCCTCAGAGGCCTGCAGAGGGAAACAGGCCAGAGGGAACTGACAGGTGCCTGCTGACCTTCGGAGACAAAAAAGCAGGTTATGTGAGCTGCACTGAGCCCTGCAAGGCCAGGTTCCCTGCAGCCTGGCGAGCTCAGCTATCCCAACACACCTCTTTCTTCATGGAAACCCAGGGGAATGCAGCTTTTACTTTCCTTAATCCCCGGCGTGTGTTTGGAAAACCCCAAACAGTCACCTGACCACTGCTGTGTGTTTGTGTGTGCATGCTTATTTGTATATATGTCTCCTCGTGTTTAATTGTGCATGCATGTTCATGTGTTTGTTTGTTCATATGTGCATGGCCACCTGTTTTATGTGTGTGTGTGTGTGTGTGTTTGTGTATGCACATGTGCACACATGTGAGTGTATGAACCTGTGTGCGTTTTTTGTGCATGCACACATGTGTTCTCTGTGCGTTTGGGGTTTGGTTGTATGTTGTGAGTGAGTATGACTGTGTTTGTTGGCATGTTCATGTATGCATGGTGTGTGTTTGTGTCTGTGCATCTGTGTTGGTTTCTGTGTGTGCTTGCATGTGCTTGCATGTGTATACTTTGTGTGTGCCTGTATTTGTATACATGTGTTAGTGAATGTGTTTATGCCTGTGTCAGCATGTGTCTATGCATGTTTGTGTGATTGTAGGCCTCTGTGTATGTTTCCATACTTGTGCGTAATTGTATGCAATGTCTATTGTCTGTATGCATGCACGTGTGTATTTGTATGTGAGTTTATTTCTGTGTCCATGTTTATACATTTCAACGTGTCTTTGGGCATGTGATATGTGTGCATGCCATTTTCATGTTCCTGTTTGTGTTTGTGCTTCTCTACATACATATTTGTGTGAGGATGTGTGCACATGCATTTGTTTGTGTGCCTGTGCATGTATATTTGTGTGTGTGTGTGTGTGTGCTGGTGCTTATGTGCCTCCGTCTCCGTATGTGTATGCATGGTTGTGTGCTTGTATTGGAATTCCCATGTTTTTCCATGTGTGTGTTGGTGTGTTTGTATGTGCATGTGCTGTTGTATATCCAAGTACATGTGTTCGTGTGTGTGTGCTTATTATGTGTGTGCAGT